AGTGGCATATCCATCAGTAGCGCATGATCATTGTGAGAAAGAGGGCCTGTTACTTTCACGCTCGCACGCGAACACTGCCAGCCAAATCAAGATACTGTAAAGCGTAGCCAGCAGATGCATTAGTGTATTCAAGACGAAGCTGTTGTACTATTTCTTCTTGTCATTTCATTTACCTGTGAAGTTTCTTATTATTCCAAAGGCTTTCAACCTGGATGCGAATTTTTTAGGTGGCCTGTACATTTCAGGAACAGGAAAGCATGCAGGAAGACGCCGACATTGCGGATGCAAGTGCGATTGTGGAGCCAACTGGACCACTCGGCACAAGCGAAGATTTGGAGCCACCGAGCATCTCGCCTGACGCAAATGAGTACTTGGAACCAGTGGTCTTGTCGGAGGATTTCATATTCCTGAACCACTTGCCAACGCACGACGTCGGAACTGAAAAACATCTTGCCGAAATTTTAGAGGAAGGATTTATTGAGATGGATGCCGAATAAGCTTTCGTAATTTTTCTTTTGGACCTTGAAAGATCTGAATTCCAAAATAAGTCTTTGGAAGACTAGGGTCACTATGAAAATATTACGCAAATCTTTCGACATACCACTGATTTACTGGGGTATCTTTCACGAAGCTATCTTTTACCTCTTTGCTATTGATTCGATTAATTTTTTAGCTACCCAGGACACTGATTTCAAATGAAAACTCAGAATTTTTGCCCCGATTGATCAAACAAAATTAAAAGGTCAGATTAAAATGAACGAAAAATTATTAAAAAGAGTGGAAATTCGATTACAGAACTCTTCAAATGAATCTCTGAAGTTGCTTAACTGGCTGCTAGCATTCATCTGAAGTCACAGTTTTATGCGATCCAAAATTCGAATTTATCACCCAAAAGCCTAGACTGCCCACGATTTTTTTCTAGAAAGAGCTCAGCATTTACTGCCGTGATCTCATCACTTTTGTATTGAATTCAGGGTGCTATGATTTCTGCCAAGCGCACGCTCGTTTCAAAAAATATTTCTGCTGGGTGGAGGCAAACGATGAGCACGGACCGGTGGTCCAGTGAACATATTTGTTGATTTACTCGGGAGAACCAGCTGCTTCAGCATTTTCAGATGGGGTGGGGGGGAGGAAGGGGGGAATTACGGCACTGTTTTACACTGTTCTGGAAAACATACCTACCGAATACGACGTGTTTAGTTTTTTATCGCACAAAATTTTGACGGCTGGACAAAAATTGCTTCATTTTCCCCGTTGTTTCGTTATCTTCCGGTTCATGGGGTAAGCCGGTGCCTCTTGTGATAATCAGCCTGACTGTGCTGTGCCTCTTCATCATTCCAGGTGATACTGCTGTTTTAGCCAGTATCCATTTTTATACATCCTGTTGATAACCCATGTTCTTACTGATAGATTGTAAGTTTAGTCGTCTTTAACGTGTTTGTTTTTAACGGTTTTGTTTTTTAATCCTGTTATGTTAATTTCGGTTGTGCTGGTTTATGGAATATGCCGGTGTTGTAATTGCCAGCGCCTAGTTATCAGTTCAGGCAGTTTTATTAACCGGTTTGATGATGTTACTTGTTTTACTGTTTGTTCTTACATATGTTGTTAATAACCATGTTGCTCCTGATCACAAAAAATAAAGTTGTTACTACTAATTACAACAGAATTTTCTGCTGATCCGTCTGGTTGTCGGGAGGTCACCGGCTGTTATTGCGCCAAGTGAATAGGATCAAGAGTGAAAGTGGGTGCCAACGATTGTGCATATCAGTTGCGTCTGCACAACAAGAAACGGGGGGCATGATAATGCGAAAAGTGCGCTATCTTTGACGCAGGAAGAAGTTCCAAAGTCGTTGATGAGTGATGTGGAACTGTAAAAAATCGAGTAACGGGGAACGATTTTAGCTCGGTGTATTTAATCGCGCTAAAGAGCCAAAGCAGTGTTGAAACTGAAGCAACAAAATGCACCATTAGGTGAGCCGGACAGGAGCATGTCCTCTCCCTCATCCTGATCGGTGTGCAATACCGAATGCGAATTAAATGCTGGACCAATGATGCGGTTGGGGTTGCATTTCGCTCTGCTGAGCAGACAAAGAAGCTTTTAGAAGCTGGTTTAGCGAGTGCCCCGCAGGGGATTGTTACATAAACCAGTACTGACAGAAGTAGTGCAGCGGACAGCCATATTTTTGTTCAAGTACACAATTTCTTAATAAGTGAGCAGCGGAGATCGCAGTGAGGGAAAAACGAAGCGCATTAAAAGTGACATTATCAGTTAGGATGCTTTCCTTTGATGGCTGTTTTTTGAAGGTTGTCACGTTAAGCATACAATTATGGTACACGCAAAGTAATTGGTGCTTTTTATGCAGTTGATTCTACGGCGAAATATTAAGTGGATGAGAATTGCGCACTGCCGACAGTTTAAAGCGAGATTCGAGAATCTCTCCGCCGAACTTGGGAATAACTGTCTCACTTGAGGCAAGCAATACAGTTGGATAACCAGTTGGACAAATTGTGCATAAGCTAAGAGGAAAAGACTAATGAGAATCCCTCACTGAGTTACAAGCCGTCTGTTCCAATACTAATATTAGCATCGACTGTAAAAGCAATATTTTTCAGCTCCGCTCTGCAACCATGTTTCTTGAGCGAAAGCGGAAGATAAAATAACATACTTATCGTGGAAAAAGTATAGCGATGACTCAAAGGGCCAGGGAACGATGCATAGGCAGCGAGTTGCAGTCAATTTTAATACAGCAATATGCTGGAAAGAACTGGGCTGATCCTATGATAAGAAAGAGAGACAACAGATAGACAAAACAAATTACTCAACGGTACCCGTGCAAAATTACAATGACACAAGGCCACTAGTTCAGGGAAATGTCCACCTAAATATTTATAAACGATTATGTGGATTGACG